ATTGTAACATAAATTATAACACAAAATTAAATATTATAAGTTTTTGTTTAATACTACAAGAAGTCGAAATCCTTAATTTAGTCAGTGTGTATGTTTTGTGTGTAGACTATATTTAGAAGATTATTGTATAGACGGCCGATGACTCGGTGGTAAACTTGAGGGGCTTATAAAGCGAAAAACGTGGGTTTGATCCCGCGGTGAACAAAGCTCAGATAGCCAATTGTGTAGCAATTTTTACACTGTAGCATGTAGGTAGTGGCGGCATCTCGTGACACTTAGAAACACAACGACAGAAATTTTTTCAGGGCACAATAAAACAACAAAATGCGGAGGATTTGAAAAACATACAAAAAGTACACATTAGTTAAAGTTAATATTCAGAGCTGAATGAATGTGAGAAATAATAAAATAGTATAGATGCAGATAATAAAGTTGACAATATGGCGGCACAAGAACATTCTAAAATATTTAAAAAAGCTACGTAATCGCTAAATACGATATTTAAGATGGAAACTAACCAGCTGTGAAGTTAAAGGAAATTAATAAAAATGTAATATATTATGTATTATTTTAAGAATTAAAAAAACACAAAAATGTGATAATTTATTTAATATTTATTGTAACTACATGATACAATACATGACCTTTCTTTGTTCAAGACAGTTTTTGGATATTGATGGAAAGCCAATCAATGGCTAAAGTTCAGCTGATAGGCTTGAGAGAAGGTGGCTAACCAACAGAACACACATACTGTTTATCTTTTTTCGTCTGACTTAATACTGGAACTTAACACCCTCTATCCTCATCCAAAGTGCAAAGCGCTATTTTTATTTTTTGGCGGTAACAGGATATGAACGAGAGATCCGCAAATTCACGATCCAGCAGGCAAACTTGGGTGGAGCTCAGCCAGAAAAGGGGAGATGTCAGCAAGATGTAAGGGAATGCTGGAAACGAGTTGAAGTTTCTACTAGTTATAACAAAGCCAGCTCTAAGTAATTTTTCCTTATCAAAGATTTGAAATTATTTTATTACACAGCTAACTGAAATGTAATATATATATTAATACGACTTTTTTATGCTAAGATCTATTTCCACAGTAATGGCTGTTTCAACTTAGCACATTTGCATGTTTATTTTTTATTGTTAATCAGAAAGCACCAGGATGTACTATTTGCGCTATGACCATTACAGGAATTGAGCCCCAAATTTTAGCGTTTTAAGCCCTCGAGCTAACCGCTGAGTTAGCAGGAGGCAATTTGTAAAAATGTCCGAGTATTTAAACCCACATTAAATTTAGTTCATGCTTTGAACAATTAATAATTTGATGCTAGAAATAGTGGTATATTTTATATGGTTTACCAATATTTGTAAATTATATTTTACATTTTCGATTCTACTCGATAATATGTTTGTTGAATTTCATGCAAAGCTATCTATGCTAGCCATCCATAATTTTGAAGTGATTGACTAGAGGGATGTAACGAATTTGTTGTTATATATTTATTTTAATGTCAGCGTTTGTTTGGATTGTGTTTATATTTAAAACATACATAGCTTATACTGTTACATATGTATTGCGAAACTGCCGCCTTTTTTCCAAAGTTGTATAAGATTCTCGAGAGTAAGAATCAACAATATATGTGTAAACGCTTTAACCAGTATTGTTACGTAAGACTGAAGATTCTAGAAAACGTTTCCACGCTATAAATATAACTAACGCGACGCGCCAGAGGGTGTCTATTATTAGTTCGCTATAATCAGAATACTATAAACTCCGAAAGCTATAATTGTGATTTTTAGAACGTTTATCAATCGGAAAACTTAAGATATTCGACCAGGATATTTATAAATTTCGAACATTACAAATCGTTTAACTTCAGTGGATTCTCATCGGACATTAGTATTTTTTACGAAGACTTTACCAATTTCAACGCTGGAAAACAGCGTGTGTGGCCAAGGACACAAAGTTAGCTAGCTTCCCGGCGAATCGTACTTACACTGAGTGGTCACAAGTAAATGGACACCACCTTCTCAGAAAAAATGAAAATTTTCAGTCATATTCACATGAATTGAT